TTTTTTTTGAATAGAAACACTTTTTATTCAAAATTGAATGGAAAAAATGATGACATTTAGGACACAGACCAAACAGACACACTTGCCAAAAAACAGGGCTTTGTTGAGTTGAGTTGAGCTGATTTGGAACTAGCTCTTGATGACACTGCATAAGGCACAAGCTTCCCTATCAATCAGTTACTCCAAATTAGAAGAAAAACCTTGTACCATAGTTTATAACTGTACAATGTTTGTAGCATACTCTATGGTTTAGACTTTAGACTTTAGAACCTGATATGGAAAACTCCCGAACAGCCCTCCAAGGGAAGGTAGATGTAAACAAAGACTAACTCGGACAAGATGAGTTATTTTTAGAAAATTATCGTAATAGTCTGTATTTCATTTGTTGTGTGTCATTCTGTTTTCTCTCTTTATTTTACTTTTACCAATTGAAAGTGAAGAACTGAAATATAGGTGTGCTTAGCTAAACATAGTGCCATTTAATGTTGTGAACAGGTAAAAATACATGGAACATGCCCGGGAGAGCTAGACGATGTGGTGAAACAATTGGAGGAAGCAACTGGTTCAGTTATTGTTGGTCAAATTGGTAGAACAGTGATTCTATACAGGCCCAGCCTCACCAAGTTGAAAGCAGAGGAGAAAAGGCAGCAGATGCGGAAGGTATTTATGAGACGAAAGACGTATTCGAGACCCACATCGGTGGAATTTCAGAAAAAAGGAGAAAGACCAAGTACGTTTGGGCGTGATAGCCGAGGAAGAACTAGGGTCTAAATTCCTGTCACATTAGGGTTATGGTAATATTATTCTGGAGCTGTGTTGACAAGGTTCTGGGGGAAGGAGTTCTTACATTTTACCTTCAAAGCTTTGCATTGTGTGGATACTGTGGAATTTTTGTTGCAAAGTCAAATTTAAACTGAACCTAAAAATGAAATTGAAAGGTAACCTGGGATCTTGCTGAAAGATGGTGCATGTGGCTGGCATCGGTGACCATAATGGCAAAGGGTCATCTTGTTCTCTTCCCTAGTATCAGAAAAATTGAATCTTCACTTCTAATCATTCTCAACTTAGAAAATAAAAAAGAAAGGTTTCTTGGAATCATTTTCTAAATTATGTTTGGTTGTGATGCTTAATTACGTGTGAATATCAAATTGTAAGGCATAAATAGAATCCCAAATGCATACTTTAAATTATATAAAAAATAGGAATTGGTTTCATCATTGAACTTGTTCACCAATTGGATTGATCAACACCCAATTAGTTTACAAATAAAAACTGTGAATCTTTTTCTAGTCATTTATGTATGGAGCTTCTCTTTCTGTCTACAGAACAATTACAACAATTGATCAAAAGAAACCGCAGCTGCTTATAATTACTTTCTTGACGCCAACATTGCTTCCATCTGTTCATTGGATCTTGAAGTAGAACCTTGACCGTTCCTAGACATAAGAATAGTGCCAACCTCATTTTTGGCCACTGGGATATTGCGCATCTAATGTGATCATAATTGCTAATCTGTAAAATGATAACACTGCAACATGAATTTGATCCACGCCAAGATGTTACCATTTAGCTCATATGTTCATATGATTCCTAGATTACACAGCTCTGAGTTTTTCCAATTTGTAGCGGCTCATATCTTCAGAGAAAAGAATGCCGTCGGGGGATATCAGGCGTCGTAGAGAGAGGAAAAACCGCATCTGCAATGAAAGCTTTGTATTCAGATAAGTTCAAATAGGTAAATATTTAGACATGCACAGTCATAGAGATATTGGTCTTTACCCATTGGAATGCTACCAGTGCCCACCAGCAGCCTGCTAAACCATATCCTCTACTGCTCAACAGCTGATGAAAGAAAAGTGTGGATGCATAAAGAACCAATAACTCTTGAAGTCGACACCAAGAGATTTAAAACAGATCTTACCAGCAATAGAAGTCCACCTAAAGAGAAGCATCCGCTCATGGACAGACTAATAAATTTTAGATCTCGTCCAGCCTGAAAAAAGAAAATTCTGATGCTCGAGAAAAAGTTTGTGCCTATGATGTAAGAGAGCTCTCTATAGTAATATAATAAAATAAAAAACAACAATTTGAAGCAAGTTTGGACTCCAAATCATGGCATTCAAAAGAGGGTCTTTCTTTAATTTGTAATTTGGATAATCAGCAAGTAGCACAAGATTTAGCAAAACAATATAGCTTGTTGAGTATGTGCTTGTGCTGTCGGATTTCAAAAACAAAAAAGAAAAGCCTACTTCCAGCAGAACAGAAGTTCTGGAACACTAAAGTGCATAAATGAGATTTTGGGAGACTTGTGTATTTCTCTCAAGTGGTTATTGTTGTGATAGAAAACACCATGGGATACATGGCAGAAGGGGATGAAATGCCTAATGTCCCAGTGAACTATAGGCCCAAAAGAACTGAATTCTATCATCTGGGGAAAGGTAAACCATAGGCCAAAAAGTGCATCCCTTGTCCAGCAAAAGCAATGGAATGACGGTTTCCTTTTATTTTATTTTTAATCAGTAAGCCATAAGTTTTATTAGCAATGACAATACCTGGAAAATCTGACCTCAGATGGTGACGAGTTGGGGTATATATTAGTCTGATTTTCCCAAAGCACAAGAAAAAAAAAGGAAAAATAGAAAAGGAAGAAAAGAAGTCCCTTAGCTCAACAAGCTTTCAGTTAAAGTAAGATTAAGTCCTATTAATAGAGACAGAAAATCGAGTTCGCTGAAAGGTAGTGCATGTTTCATGAAGATAAGACAAATCACAAGGAGCATCCATCAGACGTTTGACCATGCCACAGAAAGTAGAATCCCATTCAAGTACACAACATGACTATCAAACTTATTTAACCCTTCCAAGAGAGCTTATATTTCACATTTATAAACAGGATGAACTGTTCAGTATTTCCACTGGAAACACAGTGCATACATAACTCAAAGTTTTCATCAATCTTTGATCTAAAAGGCAGGCACAAGATGTGCAACCAAAGGCTTATAAGAAGAACATTAGAAAAATCATCATTGAAGATAAAATTGAACATACCAGCAATGTTCCCTCAAGGCTGTGAGTGGGGGGAGTCACAGCTAATGCAAGAAAATATGGTATCAGCACCTTATGCATCTGCATTAACACATAATAGAATATGATGAGGAATTACACTTGTGGAACCTTTTACAAGTTATTACAACTCATGACCAACGGACTTGTAGAACCTTTTATCAGTTATTCCACCTTTTCATGACCAATGTAAGCCATAGGTGAATAATCAATATGCATGGAGTCAAAAATTTGATATGATTGGAAGAATAAATGCTGATGATTCAGTTTAAAAGCAGTTGTCACAACCCTCTTATACTATGCGTCCGGTGGAAAGCTGTAAATATTATAGAAGGATCAATACAATTTATAAAGGAGCTAACAACCCAACTTGATTCTTTCCTTGATCAAGATACACAGCAGCACTTATAACTAATGGCAACAAAAGAAATTTGAATTAGAAGACTTTAACGAGTTTAAGAAAGCAAAGACCAACCTCCTGTATGATCTTCTGATCAGGTGTAAAGATATTGGGAAACAACCATGGAACACATGTTCCAATGATACCTAATACCGAACCAAGTATAGCTCCAATGATGACAAGTGACTTCAGCAGCATTCGAGCCTGTTCGTATCATAAAACTTTCAGAAGACAATGAACAAATAAACATTAATATAGATACAGATTCTAAATAGGAATAATCTACATTATATTCATTGAAAGGGGAGTATCCTATGTAATTTATTTGTCCACACCAAAATATACACGGAAACTCTTCAAATCTCAAACAGTACAACCAAGATAAAAATTTAGATGTCATCATATCAATAGAATGTTAAGTAGGACACACCTTTGCCAAACTACGATTTACTCCATATATAAACTCAGGCATAAATGATTGCGCAGTTTGAGAGAGAGGTTCACCCCACACCGTACACATGCAGAATGTTTGAATCATGACCTAGTAAATGGCAAGCCATCAATGCACATAACCATCTTATCTCCAAAAGTAAACCACTACTAACATGAAATTTGACCAAAACTAACCTGATGAGCAGCCATGGTATTTGTTCCCATAGATGTTGCAAAATATACAAGGAGGGAGTAGAAAGCAACCTATGCATCACAAATTCACAATATCACTATTAGAGAACAAAATTATATTTTAATTAAGATCCCAAGTTAGATAGAAAATTTTGGTTGCCTAATCTGTTTAGGGGTGTGATCCAGTTTTTCCTAAAGTGAGTGAGTTGGTTGTTATTTAGTTTCCTTTAGGCCGTATTCTATTTAAACTAAAGCATCTAACTTTCTCCCTTATTTTTCGGCACAGTATCAGAGCATTAGACCTAACCTTCTTTGGGAAAAATATTTCTTTTTCTGGACAAACTTAGCTATGTTATAAATAGGTTGTCATAATGTTCTCCAATTTTATTTTATTTTCCTCTCCTTTGTTAGTCTAACCGTTTGTTCTGTACTTATAGTAGTCGACATCCGTTGTTCATCGTTTCTCATTGTTAACCATTAGAAGTCTAGTTTTGCATCATCATCTTCGACATCTTCACTAACTACTATTGGTATTTCTTCTTTTCTATGTTTCTGATTGTGATCCACTGATCCTCATAGGACTCCTGCTGTCCCCTTCTGGTCAGATCTTGTTGTTGGATGTTCCTTTATTGGTTGCTCAAGCGTTGTTTGGGTGCTCCCTAAGTTGAGTCATGTTTGGTTGCTGAATTTATTAAATGTAGTATGACTATTGAATATTTGTTCATAAAAATTTAAAATACACAAACGTATTTATGAAGTTTTGGTTTGAAATTTGTGATGATAATGCCATCTAGTATGAGAATTTAGAAGTTTTGTCCCTTATCGATTTAAGAGGGAGTGCAAGAGTATCAATCATGTTTAACGAACTATGAAAAATGAGAAAATCGCATCAGACATGATAAAGAAATTTAAAAGAGTAAATTGAACCTTCGACATCATTGTCACAAATACTGGAGCAGCAAGCCCAAGTACTGTCAGAAGTTCCTTGGATGAGGGAACAGAGATTGCATAGCCGTTGTATCCTTTATTGTTGAGAGCTTCAATCATCATATATCCTGCAACAACCTATTTTATACCAGTCAGTAGTAGTGGAAAAGAAGTTAATGTGCCAATAGGAAATATATTAATATGTTCATCTAGCATACCTGTGACACCATTGTTGCCCATGCTGCACCAGCAATACCATAGCCTAAGAAGCTACAGAGGAGCACATCACCAACGGCATTTATGGCACTAGCTACAGCCAAGGCCTTCAAAGGACCCCAGGAATCTTTCATGCCAAGACTGGGAAACAGATTGAGAATATCAGAGACTGAACATGAAGTAACAGCTGCTCACAATCTCATTAACCTCAGCACTTAAAATTCCTGCCAGAGATAACCTTCCCTTAGGCAATAAAGTGATTCAAGTCAAAATAATAGTTTTGCCTGATAAAAAGTCAAATTAAGAGTGCTCGTCTCATACTTGTTTCTGAGACAATGAGACGTAAATTCATAAACTTAATTATATCAACTAGATGGTGCCAAATTTCTTTCTTTGACAGTAAATTCTTCTCAGTTCTCCCCCAATAGAAACAATATCCCCTGTGCTAAACAGATATTAAGGCCTTTACCATATCCCTTATGTAGAGCAGTTGCTAATTATTTTGAACAAGGAGGACCAGTAGAGCTTCTATCAATTTACTTATTCACTTCTATATCTTTAAATGGTTAGAATTTTATGCTGTAGATAATGCATGGGAAGAGATATAGTAACCTTGCACTCTGAGTAACCCAACCAACAAGAAGTGCAGGCCATGCCAATCCTCGTATCTACCAACAGAAAATAATCAGTCAAATTACAAAGTCATTTAAAAAGAAATCAAGACAGGGATTCT